AAAAAAAAAAAAAAAAAAAAAAAAAAAAAAAAAAAAAAAAATGTGTGTTTGCGTGTGTGTGTGTGTATACACAATATATTATATATATTTCTAAAGTAATGAAATAGAGCATTTAAAAGGTTATCTTGGGTTTTAAAATAAATTTTCACTTTTTAACTGTCATTACTGTGTAATAAATATTTTTACAATATATAATTTGAAAATCAAAGATTTTAAAACAATTAGTCTTTAAAATTTGAATTTTAAACATATTCAAAATATAAATACAGTAGATGATTTTCCTTATTAATGGATGACCACAGGTCTAGAATTCTTTATTTGGATTATCTAGCTCCAGATATATTTTAAAATTCATAATTTTTCACATTTTAGAAAAGAAATACACGGGCCAGGGGTTTAGCTCAGTGGTTCCAGTGCCTGCCTCACAAGCACAAGGTCCCAAGTTCCATCACCAATACCAAAAAAAAAATAAAATAAAATAAATAAATAAAAAAATTTAGCAGTGCTGTTGGGGAAAATGGTGGGACAAGAAGCTTCAGGAATCTCTCCTTCTACCAAACAACTATCAAGCTGGCAGAGCTGTCAGAATCAACACTTTGAAATTGCAGTCTGTCTAAACAAAGGTTTGCAGCACTCTGCAAGTGCTGGACAAAGGCTGAGAAATGGAGGTGCATTTTGGCATTTACACAGGTACAACTATCATCCCTCAGTTCCCAGCTTTATATCAGGCAGCCATCAGGATCATGGCCTCCATCTGAGCACCATACTGGTGCCAAGGTGAGCATAGCACCAGGCTGTGTAGGTTCTGATCCACCACAGTGCCTGGCACAGAGGCCAAACATCACTTCAAACCTCCTACCAGAAGATCCCTGTGGAGACAGTTTACGAATACAACTCTTGTTTTCTTTTCTTATAGATCCAGATATTTAAGGAAGTATCTATCAAGTCTCTAGCTGGTGTGGAGATATTAACAAAATATTTAAGCAACCACACATGACAAGTAGTACAATCAACAAGAGTCACTGGGAAAGCCACAAATGTACAACTGCAACACTTGAAGAGTAATAAAAGCAATCAGAAGAATCTGATTCCCAGAGTTACCACAAGACAACATTCAAAAAGTTCAGTTTTCATTAAAGAATGACAAACCATCCGAAAAAACAAGAAAATACGGCCCATGTACAGTGAAAAAGATTAACAGAAACTGTCACTGTGGAAAAGGAAACCAGCCATGGGACTTACTACTCAAGACTTTAACTGTCTCAGATATGCTCAAAGAGCTAAAGGAAACTACAAAGAATTAAAGAAAGCCTGGAGAATGATACATAAACAAACTGCAAATTTCAATAAAGAGATACGCATTGTAAAAAGGTACTAAACATAAATCTGGAGCTGAAAAATTTAACAGCTGAAGAATTTCACTAGAGGGATTTAACAGTATGGCTGCCTTGAAGGTAGCAAAAGGAATCACTCAGTCTAAGGAGCACAAGGACAAAAATAAGTAGAAGTAACCAGAGCCTAAGGACCTCAGGTGCCATGAGGTTACACCTATACACATCATCCCAGTCACAAAGAAGAGAGAAGGGGACAAAAGAATATAGAAAGAAACAAGGGCTAAAAATGTCCCAAACTTATGAAAAATATGAATAACACAGCCATGTGGCTCAAAGACTCCAAATAAGAAAATCTTGAAGAGATGCACAAAAAGACATAACTGCCAAAAGACATAGTCTTGAAAGTAGCATCAGAGAACCACCTTCTAATATATAAGGTATCCTCAATAATTGAAGACTGTCTCATCAAAGACAATTTGGCCACAGGTAGTGAGATGAGATGATATATTTAAAATGCTGAAAAACTGTAAACCAAGAATTCTATAGCTGGTAAATTGATCCTTCAAAAATGAAGCTGGGTATTCAGTGGCAGAGTACTTGCCTACTACACACAAGCCCTGGGCTTATGTCCCAGCACTGCAAAGAAATGAAAAAAATTTCCAAATAGCCAGGCATGATGGCATATACCTGTAATCCGTGCACTCAGGAGGCTGAGGAAGGAAGACTGCCACAAGTTCAAGGCTAGCCTGAACTACATAGACAGACCCTGTTACCAAAAAAAAAAAAAATAAAAAAAAAAAAAAAAAAGAAAGAAATGTCCAAATCAACAATAGCTGCAGTTTAGCTTACTACAATTAGACTTGTCCTTCAAGAAAACACTAAAGAGTCATTCAGACTGATGCAAAAAGGCTCTAGACAATAATGCAAAGTGATATGAAGAAATAAAGATACTGTCAATAGCAGTACCATGAAAAAACTAGAGATATAGCTCAGTGGCACAATACTTACCTACCATGTGTAATGCCATGATTAATACCAAGTACAGCAAAAAAAAAAAAAAAAAAAAGAAGTATAATTGTATTCCTGATTAGTAACTCTTCTTTTAATTCCATAAAAGACAAATGCCAAATACAATAATTATACAAGAGACCAGATCCCCAAAATTCATGAGTTATGTTCCTGGAGCATATGCAAATTTTGAAAAAATCTGGAATTTCAGATGTGGTATAAAAAAATAGTGCCTGTAAATGCCTATTTGTATTGCTATGCCTCCTACAGTTATGTAATTTAGTAAAACACTGCATTAATAAAGCTTTAGAAGTACAGGGTGTTTTGGCAGCATCTTAGGGATCTTGGGGCTTTAAGAAGAACAAAACTGACAACACTGGCGATAGCTATGCAATCTATTATGATGGGGGAATGCTGGTGCATCAGCCAGAAATGGGTTAGATAGCAGCCAGATAGCAGCAAGGAGAACTGAACAGCGCTCTCAAATTGGCTACTTACAAACTTCCCACCAAAACAATAACTACAGAGGGTATTTGTGGTTTCCACAAACTGCAAGGGTTTCCAAGAACTACTGAGGCCAGGAACTCTGAGCCAAAATTTCTTTGGGGTATACTGTCAACTTATGTTAATGAGCACATAGTGAACAAAGATACAATTTGCAACAATCACAACACAAAGGAGGGGTGAGCAGAGGAAGTAGAAGCAAAAGGCCAGGGATTTAGCTCATTGTTTCAGTGGCCTTTCTTGCAAGCGCAAGGACCTGAGTTCAATCCCCAGTACCAAAAAAAAAATTACTGACAGAAAACTTCCCAAACAGAGCAAAAGAATTTGACATGCAGCTAGGCAAGGCATATAAGACTCCAACTAGCCATGATAAAAAAAAAATCTACACCTAAACATATAATAGTCAAGATCCCAGAAACCCAACAGAAGAACAAAATACTACAAGCAATTACAGAAAAGAAACAAATTACATTCAAAGGAAACCCCATCAGAATCACAGCAAATTTTTCAACCCTTAAGTCAAAGAGAGCCTGGAGTGAGGTACTTCAAGCCCTAAAAGAAAACAAGCTCCAACCTAGACTGATGTATTGTGCAAAACTTTTTTTTTTTTAAACAGGGTCTCACTATGTAGTGAGACTGACCTGGAACTCACTATGTAGCTCAGGCTGGTCTCGAACTCACAGTAATCCTCGGGCCTCAGCCTCCCAAGAGTGCTGGGATTACAGGTGTGTGCCACCACGCCCAGCCCAAAGCTATCTTTCAAAACTGATGAGGAAATAAGATACTTCCATGACAAAAGAACACCTAAGAAACTTCATGAATACCAAACCAGCACTCCAAACAATTCTAAACAATATCCTAGAAAAACACAATGAAGTTCACAACTCCATGACGCTCAACAGAGCAAAGCCATCAAGCAAGGCAAAAAATTAAAGGGGGGGAAAATAAAAAATAAAAGAGCCAACCACAGGAAAATAACATGACAAGAATAAGTTAATACATACCAGTTACAACCATCAATGTTAATGGCCTCAATTCATCAATCAAAAGAAATAGACTGGCAGAATGGATTGAGAAGCAAAATCTAACAATATGCTGTATACAAGAAACACATTTAATTCAAAAAGAAATTCATAGACTGAAAGTAAAAGGATGGAAAACAGTTCTCCACGCAACAGGAACCCAGAAAAAAAGCAGGGGTAGCTACCTTATTTGCAGACAAAGTAGATTTCAAACTAAAACTAATTAAGAGAGACAAAGAAGGGAACAATCCAAGAAGAGATAACAAACATAAATATATATGCACTAAATACTAATACCCCCATTAATACAAAACAAGTATTAATGGACATGAAAAACCAAATTAGCACTAATACAACTGTAGTAGGGGACCTGAATACCCCACTCTCACAAACAGATCATTTACACAAAAAAATCAAAAACAAAATATCAGAACTGAACCAAGCTTTTGAACAAATGAATTTAATAGATGCTTACACAGTGTTCCACCCCCCAAAATCAGATTACACATTCTTTTTGGCTGCACACAGGTCATTCATCAAAACAGACCACATGCTCGCTCTCAGAACATGTTTAAGTAAACGCAAAGGAATTGAAGTTATCCCCTGTATATTATCAGACAATAGCGCCATTAAATTGGAGATCAATAGCATAAGAAACCATAGGAACTCCACAAACGCACAGAAAGAATTAATTTCTGGGACCTCATCTTATTAAAAAGCTTTGCAAAGCAAGAAAATCCACCAATAGAGTGAAGAGATAACCCACAGAGTGGGAAAAAATTCTTAACAGCTACTCAGATAAAGGACGATTATCTAGAATACATAAAGAACTTTAAAAAATTGGACTTCCCAAATTTAAAGACCCAGGGCAAAAACAGGCATCTGAAATAAAAAGACACTTCTCAGATGAAGAATTAGAAATGCCAAATAAATATATGAAAAAATGTTTAACATCATTTGTGAAATGCAAATTAAAACAATGCTGAGATTCTACCTCACTCCAGAAAGAATGACTGCCACCAAGAAATCAACCAGTAACAAATTCTGAAGGGGAAGTAAGGAAAAAGAAACCCTTCTCCACTCTTGGTGGGAGTGTAGACTGGCGCAGCCATTGTGGAAATCAGTGTAGAGATTCCTCAAAAAACTAAAACTAGAGGTTCCATTTGACCCAGCTATACCTCTTCTTGGTATCTCCCCAAAAGAATTAAATGCATCACAGCACAGCAGTTTATGCACACCCATGTTTATAGTGCACAATTTGCAACAGCTAAATCTTGGCAATAGCCCAAATGACTGACAAGTGGATAAAAAAGATGTGGCTTTTGTATAAAATGGAGTACTACCATGCCATAGAGAAAGATGAGCTTGAGGCATTTATAGCTAAATGGGTGGACCTTGAGACCACACTTCTAAGTGAAATAAATTTGACACATGTTTAAATACTCCCTTGTTTCTCTGGTGTGACTGGAAGTGGAAATAAGGACTGAAATGTATAATGGATGTTGGGAAATGGGAAGAAAGTGTTCAAATAGGAAAGGGAACAAGGGAAGAAGGAGGGAGAAAGGAAGGACGGGACAAGAAAAAAAGTGAAAATAGAAGGAAAAATGGAAACAAAGCTTTTGTACATAGGGAGGGACAGGGCTTGAGGGACAAGAATAGGATAAAATAAAATTTAAATTTTAAAAAAAATATATTTTACACACAATCTTCAAAAATAATTTTTCTTATCTCAAGATACAAACATACCTGAATTTTTCCATGGCACTTTCTCGTTCCATGCGGAGCTTAGCCAAAGAGGTATTCTCAGCTTTAAATTTTTTTATTTCTGTTTCCAATTCAACAACTTTCTCTAGCAAAGCCTGGGATCGAGCACTATCACCTGCAAAACAGTCCATGAATACTGAATTTCACAACAGGTCTTACAGCAGCAAAAACACTACCTATCTTCTCCTAAGAGCCAAGAATATGGCAAAACCCCTGGGCCATCATGGTGCATTAGAATCAAAGTTTCAAATAGCAAAAAGGAAAAGAAACTGGCCTAACTTTAAGAAAGAATTAATTTTACTCAAGAATATCAATTTGACAAGAAATCAACATTACAGATAAAATGAAATCAATCAAACCAATTTTTTGAAAGACCAATCAATAACAGCTGAGTGTGGTGATGTACACCTACAATCTCAGCATTCGGGGAGGCTGAGGGGGTTGAATTAAAAGTTTAAACCCAGCCTCGGCAACATAGTCACTCAGCAAGACCCAAATGCAAAATAAAAAAATTTTTTAAAAAGGGCTAGGGGTTGGAGATTTAGCTCAGCGGTGCCGCTGCCTGCCTCGCAAGTGCAAGGTCCCAAGTTCGATACCCAGTACCAAAAAAATTAAATTAAAAAAAATTAAAAAGGGCTGGGAATATACCTCAGTGCAAAGGCCCTGGGTCCAAAACTCAGTACTACTAAATAAGGTAGGTAGGTAGGTAAATAAATAAGATACCTCAAAGGGCTAGTTAACACCAAAATCAAAGTTTGCTGCCCCATGCTACTAACCAAAGAAATACACATTAAGATTTATTTCCTTTATCTAATTTGCTTTTTAAATAATAAAATAGTCAATGTTTCTTCAACTGAAATAAGCATTTTATCATGTGGTACTACCCTTCTGTAAAATACAAGACTAACAGGATGAGGCCAGTCTATAATATATGTCTCTATCATATTACAAAAACAGGAAAAATTATTGAAAGGAAGTTCACAAAAATGATATAGTAGTTACCTTTGGAAAGTTTACTTATAAGTATTTTTGCTTCTTCTTAAACTTTCAAACTTCATGAAAAAAGTATTACTTTTACCATTAGAATTTGTTTTTTAAATAAATCAAAACTTAGATTTTAAAGCATTGAATGCTCTATAAAAAATATGGGGCTTATGGGGAAAAAATTCAGAGCTTGTATTGCAATAAAATAGTTGTTTTTCAATAAAATCTTGAAAAGGCATCACATCAACACAGCCATTAAAGAGAGGGAGGCAAATGTGGTAGAATATTCAAATTTCATCAGAAACAAGGTACAGAAAACTGTATGTTTTCATTTGTATATAACAGAATTAAACATACACTCAGATGTTTAATATGAGCAATTCATTCAGAGTACACAAATAAAATGGTAATGCTGACACCACTAAGAAAAGGGGCCTACAACTACAGAGCTAGTGAAGGACAGAAAGTTATTTTTATAGTAGTCCCCCTTATCCAGTTCTACTTCCCTCAGTTTCAGTTACAGTCAAACACAGAGCAAAATTACTAAATAGAAAATTCTAGAAATCAACAATAAATTTTAAGCCCATCTGGCATGTGAATCATCCCTCTGTCCACATCACCCAACCATGAGTCACTTAGTGGCCATCTTATTATCAAACTGATGGTTGTGACCTTCCAATGCTTATGTTCAAATAACCCTTATTTTCCTTAATAATGTCCTCAAAGCACAAGAGCAGTGGTACTGGTAATTTGAATATAACAAAGAAAATTCACAAACTGCTTCCTTTAAGTAAAAATTATGTACAGATAAGAAAAAGCACAGTATTTATAGGGGTAAACACTATCTTCATTGGGGATCCAAAGCAGACTACTGTACCATATGCTTTTTTGCTCAGGTTTGATAAGCTAAATGTGTGAGTTGGTAAAATAACTGAAACAGACACATGTGGTGGTGAAGACCTGCAATCCCAGCACTCTGGGAAGCTAAGACAGGAAGATGGCAAATTCAAACCCAGCCTGGGCAACTTAAGAGACTTAGCAACCTTGTCTCCAATTAAAACAAATAAAAACTGGGGGGCCGGGGATTTAGCTCAATGGTGCTGCCACCTGCCTCACAAGCACAAGGTCCTGAGTTTGATCCCCAGTACAAAAATAAAATAAAATAAATAAATAAATAACTGGGGATGTATCTGAGTGGGTTAAATCCCCAGAACTAAAGAAAAAAAAAGAAGAAAGAATTGTAGAATAGGTAAGTTAGATATTTTCTAGGCAGTTACACAGGGCCAGCCCTGTAGAAGCCAACATGAAGGACAGTTAAAGAACCAACAGGGAAGACACATTCACAGAAGGCCAGACTTGTAAAAGAAAAGGAACTAGCACTGATATTCTAAATATGTATAAGGCCGATATTCTAAGATTCTCTAAAAAGGTATAGGGGCAGGGATTTGGCTCTGTGGTTCAGCTGCCTGTCTCGCAAGTGCAAGGGGCCCAAGTTCGAGCCCTTTCAAAAAAAATAAATAAATAGGTATCAATCATTTGGATGAGGGACCAAGATCTTCCAAGATCCCTAATCCATTCCTTACCAAAAATCCTTGCTCATTTCTTGTACACATACATGCTACATGGCTTGCCTCCCCACTGGATCCCCATTTAATCAATATTACATAAGTGACTATACTTGCCATAATCTTTTTTTTTGGGGGGGGTACTGGGGATCGAACTCAGGTCCTTGCACTTGTGAGACAGGTGGCAGAACCTCTGAACTAAATCCCCAGCCCACTTGCCATAATCTTATTGGTTGTTTATAATTTTGTCCACCTTGTTATTTCCCATTGGATCACTATTATCTAAGCAACTGTACTAGTAATTTTACTAGTAGACTACAGTTTCATCCACCTTGGACCTGCCTCACCTTGTGGCTTTGACCCATAAAACATCTTTGAGAAGAAGGGTAAGAAGGTAACCCATTTTCCGGGCCCCTTCGGTCTCTCTTAAACAGAAGCTATCTTTTTTCTCAATAAATTTTTCCTATTCTTAACCTCCGTTGTTCCTAGAATTCATTCTTTTGGGGGGGAGGTACCGGGGATAAAATTCATTCTTTGATTTTAGAGAACATGAACTATCATTTCAAATATCTAGTAGGTTTGGGAGTTACATCTATTCCCTCTATATATCCGAAGGAAGCAAACAAGCCAGCAAGCTATGGGTTGGGAATGTAACTCAGTAGCAGAGTATATGCTTAATGAGTATGCATGAGGCCTTGGGTTCAATCCCAAGCACCACCAAGATAAAGAAAAAAGGTTACCTCAGCAGTGCATTTGCATCTCTTTATACTAGTGACATTATTTAGAATCACAAAATAATTTTTTACACATCACCCACTAAAGTTGACAATTACTGAGCAACAATATTAGGATTTTAAATATTCTGACAACATACTGGTAAAATAATGTTACATCTGTAATATTCTGATAAATATTCTGCTGACTCACCAGATGGTTGGTCTTGACTCAGACTTAACTTGGGCTCATTTCCCAAGTATAAATCTGATTTTGGTTTCAGTTTCAAAGAAGGGAAGAATTTCATCATCAGTTCTGATGTGGGAGGGGGACTTGTGCTCCTATTAGACTTGTTCAGGTCTTCTCCCTTCTTGACTGGTGCAACTTTCCTTTTTATTGTTTTGTCCAGGACATATTCGTCATTATTAGGATATCCTGTCTGTGGCATCTCATAAAAGGATTCATCTTCAAGAGTAACATCATGTTTACATGAATTCTCTTCAAGGTCAGTCCAAGATCTTTCATCATCAAAGTCAATTTTATTCATACTTAGTGACAAAGGTCTTCTTGAAGGTTCAGATACTTTAGTTTTCATGTTTTCTGTTACAACAGACTCATCACTGCTATAATCTTTATCAGATAAATCCAGGTCAACATCTCTCCTTCTATCTTCTTGTGTCCTGATGTCTCTAAAAGGTCCCTTGCCATCACAGACTTGTGGACTGTCCTCTCTTTTGCTGAAACCTCCCTCTCTATCCTCCCAGGGTGGCTTTATGGTAACATCAAGCTGCTCCTCAGAGTCAGTGCTACTGTCACTGCCTGTAACACCTTCATCATCCACATTCCATGGCGTTTGACTTTGAGAAGTGTTCCGCTGGAAGTCTTCATCACTAATTTTGCAAGATAGTTCCTTCAATCCATGAGATGAGGATGCAGAATCAAGTGGTATGGCTCTTATCTCACACTCACTCCCATTTTCAAGGGCAGGATTAGGGACTGGATCCTCACTGCAGTTACTCTCAGTCCTGAAAACCACCGGATGCGTCTTCTGTTGCACAGCTTTGACAGGAGTTGAAGACATCCGGTGACCTTTGCAGATCTGTTGATCCTTTTCTAAGATTTTCATTACAAATGAGGAATTACTAGAAAATGAAATTTCATCAGCAGCTTTTTCTAAAAATAAAAATTCATCTAATTCCAAGCTTTCTTTTTCCTTTTCTTGTTCCCAATGCTCTAATTTTTTCTGAAGAGAAATGTCAAGAGATGAGCCTAACTCTTTAACTGTCTCACTTATGGGCCTCTTAGAAGCCATGCAGCTGACAGGTCTTACTGAAAGAGGTGGTCTATCTTTCGCCTGTGTCTTATTCCATACTTTGCAGCCAGTATCACAGGGCTTTGTACACTCAGGTACATTTTCTTTGTTAGAGTCACCTTTCTTTTCTAACTTGATCTTCTCTCTCAATTGTCCATTACATTTCTTTCCTATCTGTATTTTTGATCCTGAGGGAGAGACACTTTTCCTATTATAGCTTTTAGGCACTTTTGGCTTCTGACTGAGTGCCACAGAACCAGTCTTGATTCCAGCTTTATTTTCCTTCTTAACAGTAGAGTTTTCTGAACATAGTTCTTTATTTATAAGTGCAGTTTTTCGCTGGAATTGTTGTCTATCTACTTTGAACAGAGGTTGCTCCTCTGAAGTATTCTGGTTAGTCCCTAATTTACTTTCTTTCCCTTTTTGAAGCTTAGATTTAGCATTAGTAAACCTGGCTAAACCTTCTCCTCTTTTTAAGAAAGGCTGTTTGGGTTTTGTTTTCATTATCAATTGGCCCTCTGATTCCTAAAATAAAAGAACAATAGTTGAATTAATTCTGCTGTATCATTGTAATCTCGAGGTTATTTTTTAAGCAAATTATGAGTAACTCTCTACAGCTTTAGAATGATTTAATCAAGCCAGGGATTTAGCTCAGTGATTTCGTCACCTGCCTTGAAAGCACAAGGTCCTGGAGTTGGATCTCTGGTACCAAACCCAGAAACAAAAAAGTTGAATAATTTAATCAAAAGAGTTCAAATGCTTACTCTTAGCTGTTTTTGTTTAAGTTCTTGTTCATCCAACTGAATCTGTTCTTCTAGGTAGTCTTCAAATGTCTGTTTCCTTTCTCTGATGGCAGCTTTAATAGGCCTAATCACAAAAAACAAAATAATTTAACATGAAAGTCTTAAGTGTGGATATTTTACACTCAGCGTAACTAAAACAGATACCCCAATGACATGAACTAACCTTTTTCAAAGTCAAGGGACAAGGTCTAGGGTGTAACTCAATGGTAGATAGAATGTGCACTTAGCATTTACAAGACCCCAGCTCTGATCCAAAGCACCAAGACAAAATTTTAAAAACCCAAAGTCAAAGATCTCCTTTTTTAGATTCTCCTTTGAGAATCTAATGAAAGCTATAATCCCCACAACCCCCAAAATACATAAATATATAATACTCTGTCCATGATTTGAGGTACTTTTTTCAGTATTTAGAATTGAACCCAAGGCCTTCACAATAAGCTAGAACTCCAACACTTTTTTTTTTTTTTCAGTACCAGAGATCAAACTCAGGACCTTGCACTTGAGAGGCAGGCACAGTGCCACTGAGCTAAATCCCTGGCCCTCCAGCACTTTTTTTTAAATCAGTACATATGAGTTATATAGCTTGGAGGTTTCATTTTGGCATATTTTTACATTCATTTAACCTACTTTGATCATTTCCACCAAAATATGTTTTTTTTAAATTAAGAAAGATTCTTAACAATTTGAATAAAGCCACAATCAAGTCATTTTGCTTATACTATGACATATATTAAAACATTCCAAATACTTAAGGAAATAATAAAAGATACTCTATTTTTGCCATAAACCAGTTCTATAACTTAAATTATAGAATTATAACTTATAAATGTTACCAAATGTGAAATTCTACTACTCTTCAGAATTTACCATATGAGAAATTAATTTTATCCTGTTGTTTCTCCCAAGTGAGAAAGTTTGCTAACTGAACTATATGCATCTCCCAACCTCCTTCTGATGCTGATAGTATATGACAGAGGTTGTATTATCAGTCTTATAGTTAGAAACACATTCAAGTGAAACAAGAAAACTGGGGCCAGGGATTTAGCTCAGCAGTTCAGTGGCCTGCCTTGCAAGCGCAAGGACCAGAGTTCAATCCCGGTACCAAAAAAAAAAAGAAAAGAAAACTGCAGGTCATAACAGTACCGTTCTTCTATATTAACCACTTCTGAGGAATCACCAATATTTTTTAAGCTCGTATCATTCCCTTCCTGAATCTGTTCTGCTGTTTTCTCCCAATGTGGTAAAATATTTTCTCCTAGGATAAAAATTAAGAACAATTTAGTTTAAAAAAATAGATTAAAATTTTAAAATATGAGAATTTTACAAGTTATTATACATTTTTAAATTTTTATTAAAATGTAATGTATGTCAAAAACTTTAAACACTCAAGGATTTCTTTAATATGAAAAATAAAAACTACAAAACCCCAATTAGGACACTTGACATTCTCCAAAAGACTAATGTCCTTAAAAATATTTTTTAAAACCTTTAGAAGACATTTCTGGGAAAATGGAATTCCCAAACAGGTTTGAATATTAAGGAATTAATTTCCATAGGTATAATAATACTGTTCTGATTACAAAGAGGAATGTTGTAATTTTTACTTTATACACACTAAAATATTTGGAATGAAGTATGATCATTGCATAGTATTTTCAGTTAAGTGATTGAGCAAATTATATCAATAACAGATACAAAAGCATACATATACACATATGTTGACAAATATGGCAAAATATTAATCATATAATCACTGCAGCAATCTTTCAACTTTTCCAAATGTTTAAATTTTTTCTAAATAAAAGTTTCATGAACTATATTGTGTTAAAAAGAAGACAAACGGGGAGGTTGGGGATTTGGCTCAATGGTTGTGCCACCTGTCTTGCTAGCACAAGGGCCAGAGTTTGATCCCGGTACCAAAAAAAAAAAAAGGAAGACGGTGGAGGGGACAAAGGGGCTGAGAATTTAACTCGGGGCACCACATCTGTCTCAGAGGTGCAAAATCCTGAGTTTAATCCCCAGTACAAAAAAAAAACAAAGACATTTAAGCTTTCCATGTCAACAGATTACTCTAAATTAGAAATAAAATACAAAGGTGTCCAATCATAAATGAAAAGTAAAGGTACTGTTTGGCACATTTTTTGTATTTTTCTGCAACATAATTAACTCAAAAGAGTAATACCTTAAAATTAAATTCTAAAAATACTGGAAACAATAATGACCTAACACAAAGAATACTAAACACTAATATATTATTTGAATGTTAACATACTGGGGGCAAATATTATAATATGGTTATAAATGATTATATAATATATAAAACAGACCATAAAAATGTTCCATATTGAGTGAGAAAAGAAGACAGTATTATCATACAACATGACTACAACAATGTGAAGGGAGGGAAAGAAGAAGCAGGACTAAGACTTTTAAAAAAATTTTTTTAGACTATATGGCTAGGATGGTGGTATGTGACTATTGTTGTTGCAGGTACTTGAGAAGCTAAAGTCCAAGATCACTTGGGCCCAGGTGTTTGAAACCAGCCTTTGCAACAAGTAAGACTCTATCTCAATAGAAATAACAACTGGGCAGAGGATTTAGCTCAGTGGCACCGTTGCCTAACTCACAAGTGCAAGGTCCTGAGTTTGATCCCCAGTACAAAAAAAAAAACAAAGACTAGAAAGCTGGGGATGTAGTTCGGTGGTAGAGCACTTGCCTAGTACATGGAAGGTCTTGAGTTAGATTGCCAACACTCCCCGCATCCAAAAAACGACTAACAAAAACACACCAGAATTGAGTTTGTACTATCTAGCACTAAATGCCAGTTCTCTAACTGTACTGTGCTGAGTGCTGGGAATACCAAGGTACAATAAAGACAACCCTTATCTCTGGGTTAGATTTATAAGTAGTAACTTGTACCACCAACCTCTCTCACATGTTACATCACAGTCCTCCCCATTACTACACACATTTGAATCAACTTCAAACTATTTCTAAGCTCTCAAAGAAAAATAGTATAGTATATGGGTATAGTATAGTATATAGTATATGTCTCCCTTTTTAGAAAATATGCTACATGAAGTCAGCATGAGCAACACAACTGTTCTTAGAACATCAAATACGAGCCCAGCCATGGTCTCCGTCCAGGCTTGGTGGCCAAACAGCATGCAAGACCTTACAATGAAGACCACAGAGGATTGGGAAAACACAGAAAGGCCAGGTCTTCTCTTATAATAGTTTGTACTCAAGTAAGAACATAAGAGAGAAACTCACCTGTAGGATGGTTCTGGTTTTCTTCTTTCAAATCATATTTTTTCACAATTGCTTCTTGATATTGTGACTCATGAAACAAATTGGAAGGAACACTTTTTGAAGTTAGAACAAAATTATGATGAGTCATTCTACATAAGTTGTTCTGTTCATCAGATAAAATGCTAGAAGCATGAGGCTTTTCTTGGGTTTGATTAGGGTAGACATATGATGGTGAGAAGGATGTGGCTTTCTCTCCATGTGGTACACTTCCAGGAGATTTGTACTTCTGACTCTGGTCATCAGCAAGTGAGGAAAAACCTTAAAATTAAGAAAAACAAAGCTGATCCTTCTTCCAACATTCTCTTCTGTTAAGTAGTGACATGCACCTCACAAAGTACTCTCAAAAGTGGTAAAAGTATTTTTTCTTTGTCAGGAAATGGTACTTAACAAAATCATGACATTTTGAAATTACAAAATGAATGTAGCTTGCATTAAGAGTACATCTATCCTCCACTTTCTGTGCAGACAATGTGTGCACAGTAGAAATACAGCACACCTAACTCCAACAGGCACCATTCCTGTTCCATCTGTGAGGATGACATTTTTAACTCTGGAGTCCTTGACAGACAGCTCCACAGACAGCATAATGTAGTTACACGAACGACTGAGCTATTCCCTGATGACCAATAACTCATTGCTTGTATAAGTATCACCCCCTTAAGATTACCTTTAAAATCTTGGTATCCTTAGGTGGTAGCTTTATGAGTAAATGTTCTTTAAGTTTCTAACTTTCCTGTGTTATGTTTCATCTATCTTGTTTCTTGAGTCTCTGAGTTGAATTAATCAGGGACACAGAAAGAAGGATCCCTCTGCTGTGTATTTCTAAACTGCACTTCACAGAGCCATACTAGCTATTCTGCCTGCTGTGCCAGCCCCTGAAATCCTACCAACCCTCAGCTCTCCAGGAATGCCTCAACTAAAAATGGAAGGGATGGCAGGCATGGTGGGCACGCCTGTAATCCCAGCACTTGGGAGGCTGAGGCAGGAGGATCAATGTGACTTCCAGACTAGCCTGGGCTACATAGTGAGTTCCAGGTCAGTCTCAACTACTTAGTGAGATCTTGTCTCAAAAAACCAAAAAATAAAAAAATAAAATGGAAGGGAAGATGCAATGAGAAGCGTTTTATAAAGCCTCCACTGACAGTGCTCACTTCAGCAGCACATATACTAAAACCTCCACTGCTGCTTATTACTTATCTACCTCACTTCCAGCCCACAAGTAAAACTGAAATCAGTTGATGAATGTAATCATTATGCACTGCAAAATAGTACTAACAAAAATTAAGATTAAAAAACTAGAGGGCCAAGGATTTAGCTCAGTGGCACCATGCCTGCCTTGCAAGCACAAGGTCCAGAGTTTGATCCCCAGTACCAAAAAAAAAAACCTAGAATCAGCTAAGTCTTCATTGAATATAAGTTTCAACCTTTCTTCCTTTATAGTAATTAAGTCCCCTAAATCTAAATATTTGTGGCCAATGGACATCCAGCTTCAGCCTGAAAAGATCTTTGATAAATGTCCAAAAGTACTAGTTCTCAAAGTATAATCCAGAAATCCCTGAAGAAAGACCCTCTCAGTGTATGTAAGAGGTCAAAATTATTCTCAGAAAATACATACTGATGGTGTAAAAGCAAACCAGACAATTGCTGGTACCCTGGTAGCAGTCATCCTACTTGTTCCCAGCATGCAATCACAGTTAAGGAAAAAATAGACAGGGTGGCCCATTCCTATAATCCCAGCTCGGGAGGCTGAGGCAGGAGGATTGCCAAGTTCAAAGCCAGACTGAGCAACTCAGCAAGACTCTTATCTCCAAATAAAATTTTTAAAAAGTTGGGATTCAGCTCAGTGGTAAAGTGCTTATCTATGTGTATGTGGCCCCGGGCTCAATCCCATCCTTGAAAAAAAAAAAAAAAAAAAGTTAAGAATATCCCAATGATGTAGCAAAAAACATTTTATTAAAGCTCAACTCTTAGCCAGGTATAGTGATGCACACCTATAATTCCAGTACTCAGGAGACTGAAGCAGAAGAATCACCAGGAGTTCGAGACCAGCCTGGGCTATACAGTGAGATCCTGTCCCAAAAAACCAAAAAGATCTTAACCCTTGAGCCCATGTCTTTTGAGGTACAGTTGTATAATTGAGCTCAACCACCCACTTCTTTTAAGGAATATCATTTTCAGTTAAAAGAATCAATGACAGACAAACTGATTACTTAAACTTTAGTATTTGGAAGAAACTTTCTCAAAATAAAAACAAGTGAAACATTCACTTCAAGGAAAATAATTGACAGTATTTGCTGCCCATAATAAAATCTGACCTTTCAAATATATCTCAGGATCCTCGAAAACGTGTAATAATATGAACTTCATAGCTTTACTGTATTTCAAGACTTTAAGATGAGCAGGGTGGTGCTATTATTGAGTATAACTTTTTAGACTGTGTATTAAATGACCATACTATGAAGATCCATATAATTCAGTGAATCATTATTTTCCAATGGTCAATATGGGCTAGGGTGTAGCTCAGTGGTACAGCACATACCTATCTTGTACTGGGCCCTGATTCTATCCCCAGTGCTACAAAAACAAACCAAATGACCAATGAACCAAATCATGAATGATAAAATCCACTCAAATGTCACATACTAAGCCCAGCGTAAACCAGGTGTGGTAGTGCACATTTTTAATACCAGCACTCTGGAGGTTAAGGCAGGAGGATCACTGAAAGCTCAAGGCCAGCCTGGACTACACAGTGAGTTCAAGGCCAGCCTGAACTACACAGTGAGAGTCTGTCTGAAAAAAAAATAATAAAAGCCAGGTGCAGCAGTACATGCCTATAATTCGAGCACTTGAAAGGCTGAGTCAAGAGGACTATGAGTTCAAAGCCAGCCCGGATTACACAGTAAGTCCCTGACTTAACAAACATTCAAGCTGCGAACTTTCACAGATACCAATGGACCTTGAATTACAAACATTGGTAGGTATGAACAAAAAGCAGAAATAACTCATATGTCTGCTGGACATTATCACAATTGTGCTGCTGTACACTTACTGTATAGTGCAGTAGTGTACAGTAGTACAGTGCTCAATCAGAGCCCAGTATGTCTGGAAGTAAAATGAAAAGCAGTGGTGACACGAAAGGGACTGATAGGAAGTGCTAAGCTTTCTTTGTTGTACTTACAAACAAATCCAACTTATAAATGTTCTCCTGGAATGAAACTCATTCATAAGTCAGGGACTTTCTTTTTTTTTTTTTTTTGGTACACGGATCAAACTTGAAACCTTGCGCTTGCGAGGCAGGCAGTGGCACCATTGAGCAAAATCCCCAGCCTTCGGGGACTTATAACGAAACTGTCTCAACACACACACACACAAAGTCAAGGCATTCAATATGTTTAATATTTTAATAGGGTAAAAAAATTAATGCAAATTCAACATGGCTGAAAGGAAGAGGAGTCACACTGGACCTATTCAAAGAAAAATCAATTAAAAACACAGGTAATTAAAAAAAAGGGAGACATACATTCTGATGCCAAAACCAATCGGAAATAAGAGACTAGTAGATCAAATAAAATATAGGCTTAATAAAACAGTGCATCAGCCCACTGGATTATCAGTGACATGGGTAGCACCAAGCAAGAATCGCCATACTGAGAAGTCCCCAAGAAACCGATGGAATGAAAGGGTGTGGCTAACTCAAACCACACAAAATAAATTTGGGAAAGATGGCTTTTTGTCTCTTTTGCTTTCCTCCTCACAAAGGACACTGCAGCCTGGCAGGAGATTTTGCTGGCAATGACAGAGCTGAGAGACCAGAAAACTGCTCCTTCCTCTATGTCATGCACAGCAGAGGTAGGGAAAAAAGTGACTGTCAACCAGTGGCTTGAGACAAAGGCCCAGATGCATTCTTGGGATATGAGCAACCTAAGGTCAGCACTTAACCCACTGAAGAAAAGCAGACTGAAGAGACCAAGGAGCCTTGGGTTGTATTTGCAGTCACCCCCAGCACCCTCATCCCCCACCCTACCACAAGTAGAAGGACAGGATAGAGAAGTGCCAGTAGGGATAAAACAGAAGAGGCTGTGCAAAGACCAAGTGAAGCCAACTGTACACAGGACTGGGAGCAGCCCTGGGTTATTCCTGCCTGACACCACAGCAACCCACAATCAGGAGGCTTGGGTGGGCCAGAGAGAAATATCCAAAAAGCTGCTGGCTAAGGACGGGCCCAGCTCCCATAAGATCAACTCAGTACCCAGTACTAATTCTATGGCAAACTTGGTGGGAGTCCACAGCAGTTTGGGGACACTACCTGTCTTGGACAGAACTGTGGATTCCAGAGGAATTTTTTTTTCTTTGTTGGTTATTTCCTTTTTCTGGCTGGTTGGGGCTTTTTGTTGTTGTTGTTGTTGTTGTTGTTGTTGTTTACCTTTATTTTTATCTTGTTCTACTCATCTTCTTTCTCTCTTTCCTCAACTATCTGAGTTTATGATATTTTCTTGTGAGTGAAAATCTTCTTATCTTTCTGGTTCACTAAGATACTCTTGCTTTATTCTTCATGCTTTCTCCTCTTCTCCAGTTTCCCACACACTGGGTAATCATCTGTTGTCCTTCAATTATCTCTGTTTTGCCCCCTAACTCTCTTAAATTCCTCCCCCACAGTGGGTAAAATCACTCCACTAAGGAGAAATTCATTGCATCGTACAAGTTCCTGGTTTATGTTGGATTGTGGTATGTAACTGTGGATCTTGCTCCTGTGGTCAAAGGTATCAAATTAATAGCTACCACAGTTTGTCAGTTTCCAGACTGTGCTTGATGCTACTGATATTGCTAGCTGTACTTCTTTAGCCAGGATGTCACACCTGTTGTAATCAAGTTTTTCTCCCTTGTATGACAACACTGCAGTTGTCTGGGGCCATAACCATCACCACAGTCCCATTAACAAAATATTGGGTACTGGACCAAGTAAATAGCAATTTCTGATCCTTAATAAATTGGAAAGGTAAGATTTTGGGACAGACACAAAGACAGAGAACCACATACACCCAGAATACATCTTTGAGGAACAGACATTTCCTTAGGGAAGATATAATACTAGTGATAAAGCTATCTGCCATAAGAAATTTACAAACATCAATACAGACAACAAAATAAAGCTGAAAAGAAAAATAAAAAATGACAAGACACAGAAGCAAAATGCAATCCTAGACCTCCAGACCACCTAGGACAAGTCCAGGGGAAAACAAGACAAAGGAAATTGGAAG